TCTGAGGCCTATTCACAGTACCTCAGGTCTCCACCCTCCATGCCCCCTCTCTCCCACAGCGCCCTTTCATTATGCCTCCCTTCTACACCCCTTCCCCCACATTCCCACATCATCCCCACACGTTCCAGCCCCACCTGCTTAGCACTCAGTCTCACTGTCTGGTTGAAAACAGTCCAGATGACCCCTTGGGCACAGGGGGGTGTGGTCAGAGACCCCTCATATCGGAAGTAGCGGCTGAGATCTGAGGGCAGCAGTGCAGATACGTCCAGTCCTGGCACCCAAGTCTCTGAGTCTGCGGAGAGGACCTGTGCTGGAATCTCACCTAGATGGCCCCCCTCCAAAGCGCTGGGTATAGGGATGGGGTACAGTTTCATATCCCGGAAGCCACGTTGACTCAGTCCCCTGAGACCACTTCTTCACTAAGTGCATCCCTTCCCCAAACTCAGCACAAGACAACTCAGGGGAAAGCGAAGGGCTCTGGAGCCGTGCAGAGGGAGAGAATTGCGCCTTAGTTGCTCCCTCTGAGTCTTCATTCTCACTTTGCATACTATGGTACATGCTGGACCACACAGTGAAGCTCAGAGAAAATAAAAAAAGGAAAATGAGCCGAATAACTTGTAAATAAATATAAATAACCATAAAAACACACACAAAAACTGAAAAAGCACAGCTCCTTGTACTTTAGCAAAACTTAACATCCAACTGGGTGAGATTTAAAATGACCCAGAATGACTGAGAAGAAAAAGATTTCCAACAAAAGTATTTACATATTTAAAATATGTGATGCTTGCCCGGCCGGCATGGCTCAGTGGTTGAGCATTGACCTATGAACCAGGAGGAGGTCAAGGTTCGATTCCTGGTCAGGGCACATGCACGGGTTTTAGGCTCGACCCCCAGTGTGGGGCGTGCAGGAGGCAGCCGATCAATGATTCTCTCTCATCGTTGATGTTTCTATCTCTCTCTCTCCCTTCCTCTTTGACTTCCATAGCTCCACACCATCTCTGGCTCCCCGTGGGGACCTGAGGACTCTTGGCTACAAATGAACTTTCAAGCCATGCAGCCTTTCAATAAAAAAATAATAAATAAATAAATAAATAATATAAAAATATGTGAGGCTTATGAAGAATTGATAGTTCTCAGAAAAATTTGAGCTCTCCAGACTCAACTCCAGAAGTTACAAACACAGTTTTGGTTTTGGTCTTATTTGGTTTTTGTCTTATTTTGGTTTTTTATTCGGTGTTTGGTTTTAAACCATAAGACCTGTGGGCGGAAGTTTGCTTTTGCCTGTTTGCCTCTGTTCAGCTTCATAGTTATTATCAAGATCATCGTCGTCCAGCTCACACATCAACCCCCTGCCTGTGGGAGAGACCCCGTCTCCGTACCTGCCTCGGCGACTTCTTCCAAATGAGACAGCAGCTGCTGATAGGCGCCGTTTTCTTCCGGGCCTTCCTAGGAGGTGACAGTGCAGGAAGGTTATACATGCATCTGGGCCATGGCTAGAGGCCTGAAGGTGAGGTGGGGTTCCCAGAGTCCTCCCTCATTTCTCAGCTCTGAGAATGTTGGGGGAAACCCAAAATCTTATGTATTATTACTCAGAGTTGACTTACTCTGCAAACTAAGCCAACAAGTGCTGCAGGCTAGTTTGCAATAGCAAATTGGAGGAGGACGTGGAGGAGCGTCGGTCACTAAGACATAAGGCCTTCGTGACCAGGGCCCCACTCCTGAAAACCATAATGGCCTTTGTACTCATGTTACCCCTGCATTCACCTTAGTAATTCATGTGATTGACTTGGAGCAAGGACAGGTTATTTCTGAGGCACTTCTCTGAACTTTGTACTTTGAGGCTGGCATTAAGGAGTCAGTTAGGGTGTGAATGAGCCTAGCACGTGTCTCAACGTCTCTTCATGTTACCAGCTTCCTCTAACCACTGTGTATGTAGTCTTAATCATTACAGGTCCAAAGAAAAGAGGTCACTGAATGTTCCTCTAGACTTGATTGCATTTCACAAAGGGGCTATTATTGTTATAGGGGCATTAAAGAAATCACTCCTCTTGATGTCCCCTTTATTGCATCTGTCATTCCCTGAGTGGCCATATTCTGAGTCTTTGCACATACCATTTGCTCTGCATGAACATCTTTTCTTTCCCACAAGTGAAGTCTTCACGTTTCACCTCCTCCGAGAAGCCTTCCCTGACCACCTCTTTTACTGTCCTTGGTGTATGTCTACCTGTGGGCCGCCGTCACTGGCTGTGGACTCATAGAGACAAGGACCCGCGGTTTCCGAATCCTTTGTTAGGCCCAGTGCCTCCCTCACAGTGGCATTGAATGAATGAACTAATGAGTGAATGAGGAGAAGCAGGTGCCAGGGTGAGTGTGCTGCGATGGGTCTCTCGGGGCAAATAGGCCGAGCCTGGGGGCATGGGGAGGGCGGGAGTGGGGGACGTCCAGGGCTGGTACCTGCAGAAAGGCGGCCAGGACGGCCAGGCCCCCTGGGCGCCCCAAGGCCTCCTCGACTTTGGCAAATGCAGTGCTGAGGTGAACCACGTGGATCTGGAGAGGACAGGTGGGTAGGAATGGGCGAGATCCCCTCGCCAGCGCCCCGCTTCGCCCCGCTGCAGACAGCTGCACGCTCACCTCGGCAGGGAAACGGTGGCCGCCAACCGTGTGCTCCGAGCCGGGGCGACCCGCAGACCCCCAGTGCAGGTGCAACTGCAGGGCCCGGTACTCCCGCCCGGGACCCAGGGCCATCTCCAGCCCGGGAGGCAGAGTCAGCTGCACTGCGAGGGAGAGCCGGTGAGCCGGTGAGTGGGCTCCGCGCCCCCGAGAGCCAGCTAGTCCCCAAGCACAGCGGGGACTGCACCCCGAGAACCAGGGAGCTCCGCCCCTTCCCTAGGGCTCCGCCCCGGCCTGCCTCACCGGTGTGGCCATTGTTTCGGAGGCGCAGTTCGGGGAGAGGCGGGAGCCCAAAGCCCTGGAGTTTCAGGGGTCCCAGGGCGGGGCAAAAAGCCGTGTGCTCCGGGCGGATGTCCACCGGGGACTGGAAGCAGCCGGCGCAGGTTGGGGACACCTGGGGCCAGGGCGGGTCGCCTGTGGTAGGAGTAGGAACAGGAGTCTAGTGATAAGATCAGGAAGTTTTAGGGCAGTGGGATAGGAAGAGTGAGGAGGTGGAGTCTGAAGACACTGGGGCGGGAAATAGGAATCGGGCAGATGTGGATGCGGTGGGTGGGACGCCCAGGACTAGAGTTATGGTTGGGGGTCAGCTCAGCAGGCGTGGGTGCCCAGATTGGGTCTGTGCGGGCAGGGCGGTTGTCTCACCTCCATAGCGCCAATGACTGTGGTCATCCCCTGCATGAATGACAAGGGTTAGGATGCGATCTTTGAGCCCAGACCCTCCCCGCTGCCCAGAACGAGGTGCCCCCCCTCTCCCCCACTAGCCGGGCTTCACAAACCCAGACGCCTTACAGAGGCACAGCAGGGAACAGAAATGCCTAAAGCTGAGATCCTAAGGGCCTTCCAGTTTGCAGCCACTGTGTTAGTAAAATGGGGGTGGGGGGTGGGGTGGGAGGGGCTGGAAGGCCTCAGTCCCAGGCCCAAATCAGTAGGGCATCTTTCCTTTCTCCCTTACCTGTCCCTCCTCCCCACTCATCCTCCTTCCCTTTCTGGTCTCCAACTCTTTTCCCAAAGTTCCTGGCTTGGGAGTCAAGGTGCCAGTGCCCCTACTGGCTACTTCCTTCTTCCCAGGTCTGTTTCCTCACCTGCAAACTGAGGGTGAGGTGACCTCCACAAACCCTCCTGCGCTTCCCCTGGAGCCCCCCTCTTTCCTCTCCGCTCCCCTCATACGCTTACTCCTCCCTACCTACGTTTTCTCTCTTTTCATGTTTCTAGTATCTTTCTCCTCTCCAACTTTCCCCTTTCGTTCCCACCTCTTCCTACTATCTCTTTCCATCTGTGCCTCATTCCTGTCTCCCCACCATCCTCTTTTAGCTCTGAACCGGGAAAGGGTCTGGTATCACCGGAACCCTGGGGTTGGGAAAGGCCACTGTGGTGAACAGGCTCCTCTCCCCCAAACAATCCCGGCCTGGGCGGGAGTTTGGTGAAAGGAAGCACACACCTCCTGGAGCCTAGACTTGGAGGGCTGAGACCGCTTACCTTTGTTCTTCCCGTGAGTGGCCCTGGGAGCCACAGTGGGTAGATCCTCTATCTTCGGGGTGTCCTCTTCTGCTTCAGTCTTCATTCCGGGCGTGTCCTCCTCTCCAGGCAGATCCTCTTCACTGGGCAGGTCCTCCTCGCCCAGTGGATCATCTTCCTCAGATGAATCTCCTCCCATGGAGGGAGTCCCCTGCATCTGGGATAGGCGCTGGGGATGGGTAGGTACCAAGAGCAGCAGTAGCAGCAGCAGTTGCACAGTGGGGCCTGGAGCAGGAGCTGTGATCTGCAGAGGGAGCCAGGGACTAGGGCACAGGGGAGCCATGTGGCTGACTGTACGGTGTCCCAGACACGGTGTGTACGGGGTGTACGTGCATTGGAAACAGGAGCTGGGTGGGGGAGGAGCAAGCCTGGAGGGGAGCAGGCTGACTCACAGAGTTCCCTTTTGTAGAGATGGAGCCAAAGTCCCTCCGTTCTGCCTGGCCCTGTGCCCCCTCCTCCATACCATAGCCCGGATTGGGGTGGCGTGAGGGCAGGTGTGTGCGTAGGCACAAGGTTATCGGGGTCATGGTGTAAGCCTGGAACTTAAGGCACCACCTGGCACTGCGCAGGCTTTCCCTGGCACCACCAGGCTGCCTGCCAGCCAGCCTCAGCTAACCCTGGCCTGCCTCCCAGCCCCAAGCAGGGAAGGGGAAAGACAGCAAGAGGGGAGCAGACCATGTGTGCATCCCCTGCCCAGCCAGGGAGCTGGGGTAGGGCAAGCTGCCGCAGGAGCTCTAGGAGGGGGGTGGATGGGTAGGTGAGGGGTTAATTTGAGTATGAATGGAAAACTGAGTATATGTATGAGTGGGACTCTGATGGGTGTAAATTTGTTTTTCATCATATTACACCTCTGCTCAAAAACTTTCATTGACTTCCTACGGTCTATCAAAGTATCTTCCATCTGCCCATCTTCTCTATCGAGTTGACTTTCACATTCCTGCAAAATCTTACTCAAGATACCTTCCCATCTCATCTCTTCCTACTGTCCCTCATATTCCAGCCAAATTAAACCATTCATTTTTCCCCAAAATGACCACCTTCCTTCATATAGTTCTCACTACTGGGAATGCCTGCCATTCATGCTTTTTAAAAAAAATTTTAAAAAATATGTCATTGAGTTTTTAGAGAGAGAGGAAGGGAGATAGAACCATCCACGAGAGAGAATCATTGATCGGCTATCTCCTGTATGCCCCCTATTGGGAATCAAGTCCGCAACCCAGGCATGTGCCCTGACTGGGAATCAAACCAGCAACCTTCAAGTTCACTGGGAGATGCTCAAACAACTGAGCCACCCTGGCCAGGGCAGCCATTCACTCTTATAGGTAATAAATATTGATTTAGCATATAACATATGTCAGGCACCGGCCTAGAAGTATGACTAAGACACAGCTGCTGTCCTGAGGAGCTCATGTCCAGGGAGTGAGAGCAAACACTACCATAAGATTTAGGGGAGAGAGTTGGTTCTGCCTCAGAAGGTAATGCAGAAGTAAGAAGATTCGGTCAGGGCTGTGAAGAAGTAGAAGTTCAATTCAGTAATAACGATGGGGAGGATGGTATTCTGAGCAAAGGGGAGGCATCAAATATTTTGGGAGAATGAGAGAATGCAATTCCCATATTAGGTGTTGTTGAGGACTGGTGTGGAGCACGGACTGGAGGGGCAGAGTGGGTGCTAGGAGACAAATGAGAGGACCCCATTATGGGCTTGGGGTTCCCAGTCTCTGCCTACTCATTTAACAAACATTTATTGACCCTCCTCCAATCCTCCAGGTACTGTTCTAGGCCCTAGGGATACAGCATTGGACCGGAAACAGCCTCTACTGTTCTGTAGCTCACATTGTAGTAAGGCCCCTACGGCTTCAACAAAGCAAATCAGAGTTAGGCCATCACAGGAGGTTGATATCTGAAATTAACATTCAGTAGGTACTGTGCATCTGTGTGATTGTAAAAGGCAATTAAATATATTGAAATATTTCTAATTCTGTTGGTAACTAGCCCCTCACTCCAGAGTGCTCCTGCTACCCCAGCTCCTTCCTGGGGACTCTCCCAACCCCCTCATGACCTCTTATCACAGCAGGGCTCCAGAATCCCACTAGAATGCCTGAGCCAGCTTCCACTCAGATGGATCAGTGTTTGTGCACCCACTACCATGTTAAATAGTTTTACTATCTCCCCTGTCTAAATCCCTTTTATTATTCAAGGCTCAGCTCAAAGGCCACTTCTTCCAGGAAGTCTTTCTTGATTAGCTCTGCACTAAAGGAAGAGATTTCTGGTGCCTCAGCCACCATAGTGCTTAGCCTGCCCTCGCTAATAACCTTGCCCACCATCTTATTCATATTAAGATGATTTATGATGCTTTATCTGTTCTAATACCTTAGCTCCATAAAGGCAGGGTTCAGTATTTGATTGATTGAGTCATTCTTTTATTCAATAGTCATTATTGAGCATTTTTCTCTCTGCAGATCACCTTGCCTGGACTTGAGAAAACCAAATTGACTAAGCTGACTTCCTTGCCCTCAGGGAAAGGAGCTTGTTGTCAATGACCTGTGCATGTTGAACCACAACTGTTCCAGGAACATGATACCACATTTTTTTTTTTTAATTTTGAAAGGCATTTTGGGGGTCAGAGGAGCTTAGCTAAAGGAGCTAAGTTCTATGGTCTTAAGTCTAAGGCCTTAGGTTCTCCTCGTCCCCAGGACTCCATGCTTTTTATGATACATTTTTATGGCACCCCACTTTATGCCTCATCAGAGTGACTGCTATACTGTATACCAAAAGCTTACATGGCTGAACAACAGCTGTTCTTGAAGCAGTCACTTTAGAAAGTAATTAGTCTAACCATCTAGATTGCCATTTCTGGAGCCAAATTAAGAGCCCTCCATCGATGGCAATTTGATCCAGTGTGAACATTGGATGGTCACCTCATTGACTTGGTCAGCTGTGTTGTCAGCACCCTGGTTGGCCCCTGATACCTTGGGAACATCTATATTGAATGGACCTGGACAAGATGGAGTGTGAAAACAAGTAATCTAGTTGAGGCAGAGAGGTTTTGGGAAGCACAGGAGACAGAAACACCATGCTAACTGGAGTCTGGGGTCCTTACGTCTGGACATCTTTCTTCAACACTAATCCCAGCTTTATTTCATTTTTCCTCTTTCCAAATAGTCTGAATGTTTCCATCTTTTTCCTTTTTAGGTCTCTGTCAGGATCTCTTTGCATATTTCTCTGTGCCATTCTGTGTGTCCACACATCTCCCTACCCTCCCAGAGCTGTGTCCAGGTGCAGATCTCTCTTTGTTATAGCTCCCTGACTTTCCAAATGCCATTCTGCATGGTGCTGCCTCTCTCTTGAGTTCTCTGTCTCTGTGTGTGACTGTGTCTTTGTTCTGGGTGGGGAATGTGGACTGTGACCTGGGATCGTACCTTCCCAGCTGGGAGTCAGCCAAACTCCAAAACAGGTTTGAGCTCCCAGAGTCTTGTTCCCTGAGCCTCCCCAGGTTGGGACAGAGTGTACTCAGGACTGATCGAGTGGGGAACCCCCTTCCCCCCCCACCTGGTGCACAACCTTAGTTAAGGCTTGGCCTTAACTCTTTGGTCATTAAGGTCTGTTCGCAAGGAGGGAGCTATTTGCTGGTGGGGAAGAGAAAAAGCCTCCCACTCCCCACCCATGGATTAGAAGCAAAGACAGATCAAAGCCCTTCTGGGGCCTCGAGGCTGACCTGTAGTTCTGGCCGACCTCATCGTCTGTGTTATTTCATAGGACTTCTGTGACAAACTACCACCAACTGGGTGGCTCAGAACAACAGAATTTTTCTCTCTCGGGAAGCCAGAAATCCGAAATCAGTGTTGGCAGGGCCCTGCTCCTTCTGAAAGCTTTAGAGCCTCTTCTGGCTTCTGGCGGCTCCTGGAATTCCGTGGCTTGCGGCTGCATAACTCCAATCACCGCCTCCAGCTTCACAGGGCCTTCTCCCTGTCTCCCCACTGGTGCCTCTTTTAGGAACACGTCATTGGCTAGGGTCCACCAAGGTAACCCACAATGATCGTATTTCAAGGTTTTTAGCTTAATTACATCTGCAAAGACCCCTTTTCCAAATAAGTTCACCATCACAGGCTGCTGGGGTTAGGGTATGGACACATCTCTATGGGGACCACCATTTAGCCCACTATGACATTAGCCGTTTAGAACTGATGTTAGCCATTTTTAGCACAGGATGAGAAGAAATGGGTTGGTGTTGGAAAGTCTCATGCCTTCTGCCCTCATCCCTCATTATAGTCTTTGTAGGCAGTTTCCTCCACTTCCACGGTTTCCACAAGGTCATGACAGACAAGTATCCCGGGATTGGACTCTCTTCTCCACATCAGATCCATAAGCACCTGCCTAATTAACATCCTACATCCTTGGTGATATTGAGTTGCTGGATTAAGCTAACCCTACCTACATCTGGACTTTTCAGTTGCATAAGCTAATAAAATATCTTATCATTTAGCCACTTGGAGTTTACTATTACTTATGACATAGTCTTGCTGGTATAAATTCCCTCCATGGTTTGGCCTCTCTCTGTCTCTCCAGTCTCCTTTTTCATCACTCTCTCCTTTGTAATCTATGCTCTAATCTTACTGAACTTCTAGCAGTTCCTTGAATGCACTGTGTGTGTGTTATCTCCAAACTTGGTTCATGCTGTTTGTCTCTCTCACCTCTACTGCCAACCCTGCCCCACCAGGTTTTGTTCATCTTTCAGGTATCAATTCCATTGTTACTTCCTCCAAGAAGCCTTCCCTGACTCCTAGATGGGGTCACTTCTGCCTGCATAAAAGCCTATACATCTTTTGTAATGTTTACCTCACTTTATGGCGACTCTTTATCATGTCTGCCATGCTAAACTATCAGCATCAATAACAGCAGAGGCCGTATTTCATTACCCATTGTTTCATCTCCATGCCTAGCACAGGATGTGGCATATAAGAGGCGTTTAATTGTTGTGGAATAACTGATAATTATTGTTCAAAGCATCACTAGGGCTTCTCCAGCATCCAGTGAGTTGAAAGCAGAGGCTGAGGGTAAAGAATAGAGAGGTGGTGGCTGCCTTCTGACCTTCTCCCACTGGTCCTGCCTTCCTTTGGCTTTGGGGATTGAGTTGAGAGTAGAGAGTCTGTCTGTTCCAGGTAGACTATGGGGTGTGCCTGACTTGCTCTGGGGGAGACGTGGTCTCCAGGAAATCAGTTGTCTCTAATTATACTCAGTGTGTCTTCTCGACATTTCCCTCTTCTTCCTCCCCCGTCTGAGTTCACAGTAGGCTCTATACAGCACCCTCACACACTGGCAGCACCCCTAAACACACCCACCACCACTGCACCCCAAGGTGCTGTGCTGTGTTCTCATCAACTGGGCTCACAGCGATACCAATTACCATGGGAATATCTGTCCCCTTCCTCACTTGAGATCTTAGTACAAACCGTCCCACATTCTCGAGACCAGGCTTCCCACTATACGGTCTCACCAGTCTCCTTGGAACCCATTCCAAGGTGCAGTCTGACCCAAACTCTCTCCTCCACCAAACCCATCAAGCTGTTTCTCCCTGATCTAAACCAGCATTTTTCCTTTCTCGGAATTGTTAGAATGTCAGAGAACTAGAGGAGACCTCAGGTCCCTGACAGTAACTTGGTTCTTGGCGTGGGGCCCAGATTCCTAGGAATCCAGGATAATAGGCATGGGGTCCAAAGTCTATCTAAAACCTGAGTTTTTAATATTTTTTTTCTGATTACAAAGTAATGCATGCACGCTCAAGCAGGAAACCTAGGAAGGCAGAAAAGTCCTATTCACCCCTTTAATCTCAATGATCCAGGACCTGGCACTGAGTCGGTGCTTAATACATATCTGTTGAATGAATTATTCTCAATCTCATCACCAGAGATAAAAACCACTGTTTTATCCTTCTAGTCATATATATTATACATAAATGAAATCATCTTGTGCAAACAGCTGTATAGTCTGCTTTTTTTCTTCCAGCAATACACTATGTACCTTTCCCCATATTGATAGCTTTTTAACATCATTTCAATGCTTTCTTCATATTATTCCTTCAAATGGATGTACCACATTTTTCCTAGCCAATTTACTACCTTTGGACATTTAGGTTATCTGTTGTTACAATGTTGTGCTTCACATCTTGGCACATATAATTTTGTCCACATATCTACTTCTTTAGAATGCATTGCTAGGCAATAAGAGAGGCACACTTTAAAGCAGGGGTCCTCAAACTTTTTAAGCCCTGATCAGTTTGGCTCAATGGATAGAGCACTGGCCTGTAGACTGAAGGGTCCCGGGTTCGATTCTGGTCAAGGGCACATACCTTGGGTGTAAGATTGATCCCCAGC